GTTGTTGTCGTGGTTGTTGTCGTGGTTGTTGTCGTGGTTGTTGTCGTAGTTGTGGTTTTTGTCGTTGTGCATGGAGTGGTAGTAGTTTTCGTCGTAGTGGTTGTCGTGGTTGTTGTCGTGGTTGTTGTCGTGGTTGTTGTTGTACAGGGAGTTGTAGTATTTGGTGTAGTTGCTTTCGTGGTTGTTGGCTTTGTAGTTATTGGTGTTGGTGTGGTCTTGTCACCGGTGCATGGCGGTGTCGGTGTAACAATTGAGGGAGTTGTTGTTGGCTTATTGTTTTCCGAGCATGGTGGGCGAGTAGTAACGCATGGAGGTGTCGTTGTCTGGCAAGGACTCTGCGTGTCCTTAACTGTAGCCGCTTGACGATTTTCCTCGACAGTTTCAACACAGCCTGGATTCTTTAGTACACAAATGCCAGCTGTAATGTCGAAGAACTTGGGGCAAGTGTACTCCTTGGATTCTCCTCGATAACACTCAATGAATTTGGAACAGCTGCCGGGCACAAGAGCTCTCAGGCCATTTGGCTTTCCCTGACAGAATTTCTTGCCATACTGTCGATTATCCACGCTGGCGCCAAGTATGGTGCTTGCAGATACTGCTATGAGCAGTAAAGTTAAAGCTGCAAATTTCCAAAAACGAGTTAGCTCAACCATTTTGAAAAGCTGCATTCCGGCGGCTTACCATAAAAGTTACGCATGGCGGTTAGTTAGTAAGTTTGCTGGAGTCTCAAGTATTTCCAGAGCCTAGACAGTACTGAGAGTAACTCCTTGTCCACATACTCTTTTATACGTGTTGCAATAGTAACAAATTTGCCAAAAATAAACTTTTTCGCACTTCTGCCTCATTAGCAAAGTAGATTCCTGGCTCCATCCTTATCAAATATTGATATCGAGATCTTTATCATTATTTGTGTTCTCTCTTTGTATTTGCAATACCCTGTTTGTAAAGGTCACTAGAGCTTTGCCGTGTAACATTTATTAACTAAAGATATCAATTAAGTACACACGCTAGACTTACAGACATTCATTATAAATATTTTTAGATAAATGTTGTATATATATATAAATATATCTGTTTATCGAACTTATCATTATATTAAAGTTACAAACTTTATGTGTAGTATCTTCTAGTCCAGCGTCTCAAATTACGTGCACACAGTTGATTTCTTTATATCACAACATTTAATAATGATTATTAACCGACGACCTTTGCACGTTTTCAGAAATGTTAAATGATATTTTATCACGTAATACTTAAAATAGAAATGCATTAACAGATTAGATGTATAAATAAATTACACAAAAAAGGAAAAAAAAAACGTGCTGCAAAATGAATTAAAATTCTATTTTACATTTGATAACATATTAAAAGTGGCTAATTATCAAATTAATTTAATTAAAAAGTTATTATTTATTGCAAAGAAATTTAAATACAATTTATTGATGAACAATTTATTTACCTCTCATTTTCATTTTGTTTAAATTATAAATGAATATATATTTTTGTAAATATTATTTTCTTTTGGCACTTTGAGTTTTTTTAATCACGCACTTCCTATTGTATATTTTCCGTATTAATTTATTTAATAAAAATTGTGTTTAGTTCCGCGGCTTCAAAGCAACTGACTAATGTTATTTGAAAAATCTATTTTTTTTCTTTATTTCGGCAATACAGCTCCTAAGGAAACTGATAAACAGCCATTAATCATTAAGAGATATAAACCACTTCAGTGATAATGAAATACGCACGGATAAGACTTAAGAAGAAGTTCATTTAATAGTATCATTAAAAATAATATATATTTGGTCAAGGGTAGAAACTGAATGAAGCACATGTTTTCTATATTTTAATCAATATATTTGTTAAATTATTATGAGTCATGAATATAACAACAAAATATTTACTAAGCTCATTTAGAGATAGTTTGGCCTCCAACTTAATGAGGTCTATGATGTCGATATGATCACAAAGCTAAAAGCAATTAATTTTATGGTATATTTATTGAATGCGCATTTAAAGTATCTTCTTAGGCGGTATTTATATAGTTTTTCTCATACTTTCTGGCGGGTTTCAAAATATATTACAGCATAGTCTTAGGAGTTTCGTAAAAATCGATTTTTATCAGTCATTATGGAAATAGCGAATACTGTTGGGGCCAATGATTTCTTCATTTTCAAGGTCACAATTAGGTTAACATCAAGCTGTGAATTTTTAAAAATAATATACATAAAATACTTTATATTCCCAATACAAAAATATTTTCCTTATTATATTTATTTTTTGCATATTATATTGAATATTACATTTGAGTTGGGCGCTAGACTGTTTACCATTTGGAAACAAGTTTTTACATTTGTAGCGATTTAATCAATTCTGGGTACTTCTGATACGCAAGAAAGTTCGCGTATCAATCACATGTGAAACGGTGCCGATAATATTATCGCACTGTTCAATTTACATATTGACACTACATAGTTATTCATCATTCCGTCTATATAAAACCCGACGCGATGGCGAGTTCATACAGTTTATATGGGAATCTGATCATGACCGGAGTCATGAAGTTTCTAGTGACATTTGGGATAATTGTGATTATAAATCAAATAGCTTGCGCCCAGCTTAAGGTAGAATTTATAAAAAGCAAACCTACTTTTATATATATATATTATACGATTCTCTCTTACAGAATGATCCAGGTTTAAATACATCGATTTGCCAGGGAAAAAATGGCATTCTAATGCCCATGTTTGGCAAATGTCGGGGATACTATATTTGTAATGATGGGCAAGCTATAGCTGGATCCTGCGATGAGGGCAGTCGATTCAATCCTCTCACCTTGCATTGCGATGATGCGGATAATGTAATTTGTCCCTATGATATATCAGCTGATGACGAAGACGAATCGGACATGGACTCTTCCGAAGAAGATCAATTGGATCAGGATAGTGATGAGGTCGAAGATCCACCTATCATTACGAAGCCAGTGAAGCGACCAGCCAAACCGCTAAAGGAACCTTATCTGGATATATGTTCAGACAAACGGAATGGCGTAGCCCTGCCCAAAACAGGATCCTGCACTGAATACTATGTTTGTAAAGCGAAAAAACCTCAGCTACGACATTGTCCAGGTCGACAGCAATTTAGCTCCACTCGCAAGACTTGCATGAAGGCCTCGCTGGCCAAGTGTTCGATAACTCCAGAAGAACCCAAGTCAAGTCCCGCCATCACAGCCGGCTTCTGTTCCGATGAGAAGCAAGATGCTCTGGTGCCCCATAAGGACGATTGCAGTAAATTCTTGCTCTGCAGCAACATGATGTTCTTAGTTATGGATTGTCCGCAAGGATTGCATTTCAATGCCCAAGCCAAGCGATGCGACTACCCAAAGGTCGCACAGTGCAATATCGATAAAAAGACAACTAAGAAAATTAACCGAAAACAATTAAATAAGCGAAAGCTGAAAAAAGCATAACTCTAATCTTTCTAAATATATATGTTCTTATATCTGATGCAATATTAATATCCGAGACTTGTTTTACGACTGGTTCGTTTTCTCAATTTAATTAATAATAGTTAATAAGCTAAAATCAAGAACGACTTTTGTCGAATTTTATTACGATTTCTATTATTTATTATACTTTCTATCAAAATTCGAAAAAATTAATAATTGGTTTGTGGAATGCCCATATTGCTATCCCCTAATCCATCCATTTGTATGTGTGCTGGCAAACTCACTGCTTCAAATTTTTAATATATATTTCCATCAAGAACTAAATACATAATACCATTTTCAGATCATAAATCTTTTCAAAAATCTATTCACCAAATCATATAGCTTCTCGATTTTGGGCCATCTTAATATCTGGCCAAATATCTGTTGTAAAACTCAGAATAGACGTCTGGTAATGCTGCTTTAAATATGTTTATTACGAAATTTAACAGCCAGAATTCTCTGGCCAGTCACAAGCGAGAACCTGCTGGTTGAAAGCCAAGCCGGCGCTACAGGTAAAGGCAACCTCACACTCACACTGGCATACAATATAGCCACCGCTGCATTTATTCTTGTCATCGACTAACATGGTGCCATCGCGCTTTCCAAGACAACGACCCTTGCTCTCACAATAGGTGCCGGAAGGACCGGCTGTGGGTCCGCTTGGCGGTAGGCTACCATCATCGCATTGGACAACATCGGGATAATCGCATTCCTTGGTAATATTGTTGAACTGCAGATTGTTGGGACAGTTCTGCTGGATCACATTGCCATAGAGACATTGAATGAAAGCCGAGCAGTTCTTATCGACGGGTCCAATCCAATTGTTGGGCATGTCACAACATTCAGGATCGCATACTTTGGGAATACAAACACCGTTCTCATCAATAACGCAAGCACCCAGCGAATTATCGAAATAGGTTTGAGCAGGGCACTTTCTCTGGACAAACTTATTATCCACACACTCGTAGAAACCAGCACAGTTAGATTCATCTGGCTTAAGAACGCCATCCTTACAGGTTACTGAAACGCACTGACCATTATCCTTCTCGCACTGTTTGCTAGCTGAGTTCCAGTAGTCA